CTGGATTTATATCTGGAATGGGGTGGGAGCTTTTTGTCCCGTCTACCAAGCCGKGGTTTAAAACAGCATCCAGCTTTTTTGGGGGACATAATTTTGGAATTTAAGGAGTTTCCCCTTCCATCAGCCCTCCTGTGCCAGGTTTTAGAAGCCACCCACGGTGAAGTCGTTCTGCTGCAGAAGATCCTTTTCCCACCCACGTTCAGTGGATGTGGGAAACTCGTGACTCCGCAGCCAGGATCGCCTCCCCCTCCGGTGACGTGTTCTCAGATGGGATCTGTGCTCTGTCAACAAGAGCCTGGTGCTCCTTCCCTCTTTCCTGAAATCCACGGAGCTGGTTCTTYCCTTGTGTGTCTTCTCCAGCTTGACCAGGAGGCAGGGGGTCCTGTAGGGTAAAACGTGGTCAAAAGCACAAAAAATAGGGCAAAAATAACTTTCCATCAACTGAAAACTTGAGGTCTCTTTCTTTGGCCAGAGAGAAGATTCAGGGAAGTCAGGATCCAAGGAATTTTTGGATATCCTGGCCTGAGACCATTTCATGCTGCTCTCATGACAGAGAGGGATGGAAAGATATTTTTTGGGATTTTTTTTTTTTTTTTTTTTTTTATCCCTGGTGACTTCTGGGGCTCTTGAGTCAGAAAATAGCCTGGAAACCCCATCCTAGAGATCCCAGCAAAACCCTGGGAATTCAACCAAATTTCCTGCCCTTGATGGTGAATTTTCCTCCTCTTGGAGCTCCTCCCTCCGTAAAAATAAATCTCCCAGGCCATGGATCAGTCCTTTTAGGGTGGTAGGAAAGGGTTTGTGGTGGGTTCCAACCTGGGTTAAAAAGCACAAAAAATAGGGCAAAGTAACTTTCCATCAACCAAAAACTTGAGTTCTCTGTGCAGAGAGGAGACTAGGGAAATCAGGATCCAAGGAATGTTTGGATATCCTGGACTGACACCAGTTCATGCAGCTCTTATGACCAGTGAGGAGATGGAAAGAGGATTTTTGGGGTTTTTTTGATCCCTGATGATTTCTAAGGCCCTTGAATCAGAAAAAAGCCTGAAAATCCCATCCTGGAAAGCTGAGCAAACCCACAGGGATTCACCCGAATTTCCTGATTTTCCTCTTCCTGGACCTTCACTGTCCATAATAAAATTCTCCTAGGCCATGGATCAGCCCTTTCAGGGTGGTGGAGARGGGTTTGATTCCCTTCTTCTTTAATGACACAACAGAAGAGGAGAAGATCCCTGTGATGTCCTCATCCCATCCCTTCCCATTGGCTCTGTGACCCCCAGTGGCTCCTCTGGAGCTCCAAATCCATTTTCCTGGGATAACAGAGGGGAAAGAGCACCGAGGTTGATGGGGGTTGGTGATAGGAGACTGAATCTGGGCAAGGTGCTCCCACTGCTCGTTGAGAATTTGGGAATTTTTTAGAAGGATCGGACTTTGAGCAGTATCTGGAGCTGCTTCCAACCACTCCTGTTCCCAGGAGCGGGTCAGTGGGGTCGTGACAGGAGGCAAAGCGGGATTTCTCCTGCTCTGACTGTGGGATCCCTCGTCCGTCCCATGGGAAGGGGCATCCTCAGCCCCTCCTCTGCCTTCCCGAGAATCCGTGTAGAATTCCAGCTTCCTCTCCAGCCTGAGCCCACTGGAGGGCAGCAGCACCCTGTGCAATGCACCCACTGCCCACAACCCCCCCCAAACCTGCCCAGCCGGGCACCCCGGCCCACACTGGCAMCCAAAGGTGGGCACAGCTGTCCCTGGGGTGCTTTGGAGTCCAGTAGATCCCAAAAAAAGGCATAAACAGCAGTTTGAATCCCTATCTCCTGCAAAATCCTGCTGGGAAAAGTGTGCAAGGAGTGAAGCCAAGCATTGCTCCCTGAGCTCGTAGCAAACTCCGTCCACGCCATTAAAAAAGGGTGGAATTTTCCTGGAAGCACTGGGAGTACCGTCCTGCTCTTAAAAGCTGGAACTTTTATCCCTCATTCCACTGTGGGGCTGCAGAGAGGGAATTGCTCCCCTGGGCTGATTCTAAAAGCTTTACTAAGGTGCTCTCCAAGATTTCCAAGGTCCTCTACTGGCCCAAGGTCCCCTCCTGGTCCAAAATCCCCTCCTGGCCCAAGGTCTCCCTCCCAGCCTGTCTCCCCAGCACCTTGGAGGCACAAAATTCCTTCTGCATCAGCTCAGTGGCAGCAAACACCGGGAAGTTCCTCAGGCCACCAAAAGGGGCATCACAGGGGCTGGGGACCTCAGCTCAAGGAGCAGGGCCCGCAGGGGTGACACCAGAAAGTTCAGGAGCGGTGGTGGCTCCTGGTGGAGCTGCTCTGGAGGGCATGGCTGGGGCACACTGAGTCCTGTTCTCCACATCCCTTCATCACCCCAAACCACCCTGGTCCCAAATTGTCCCATGAGTGACACAGGTGTGGCTCCAAGTCCCCTGGACACCCTTGTGGGTGAGTGGTTCAGGTGCACCCAAGGGTGCTGGGCTCCAGAAATGTCCTCGGTGCTGCCTGACAGCTCCTGCCCAGCTGGGGTGGAAGAARAGGTGCCACCAGSAGGRACCTGCCTGTCCCCTGCCTGTMCCCAGGRCCCCTCATCCTCAGCTGCTTCCTGAGGGGGACGAAAGCTGGCATGGGGATAACCCCTTAWCCCATCCCATTCCCTCCCTTCCCATCCCATGTGTTTGATCACCTTCCCTTGCATGGGAACAAGTGGGATAACTTGGGGATAACCCTTTATCCTATCCCATCCCATCCCATTCCATCCCATCCCWTCCCAATATGATCCCTGGGGAGTGCTTGATCATATTCCCAAGAATGGGAACAAGTGTCTCCCATATGGAAGAAGATGAGGTCACCTGGGCTGTGGGGCAGGGATGGAGAAGGGAATCTCCTTTGATCCCTACTTTCTGTAGGATATTGGTGGRTTTAAGGGGTCTGTGCTCTGTAATCCTAAAGAGGATGGAGGAGGATYGTGGGATGGGGAAATGGGAGATTGTGGTGGGAAGAAGGGAATTTCAGGATCCTGGAAGTCAGTGGGTCTGGAAGTAGCTCACATGGTGTCACCTCACTTTACAYGGCTGAATCACGGAATCATGGAATGGTTTTTGTYGGGATCCATCCCATTCCAACCCCCTCCYATGGGCAGGGACCCCTTCCCCTATCCCAGGCTGCTCCAAGCCCYATCCAACCTGGCCTKGGACACTTCCTGGAAAGAGGGAYCCACAGCTTCCCTGGGCACCCTGTGCCAGRCAGGGATTTGCCTTTGGATCCTGCTCAGGATCAGCTCCTGGAAAGCAGGGAAAACCAAACCCTTCAGCAGCCGGAAAAGCTTCATCTGCAACACTGAGCAGCACTTCGGGATGAAACTCCCATCCCTCCTCTTCCCTTTTTCTCCGACTCCTGCCATGCCCTTAGACTCTCTCAACAACCTTATCCTGTGTTTTTTTCCCCATCTCAGGAGCAATTCCCTTTTTCCCTGCAGTCACCCTTTCGCCAGGGTCYGGCCTTTAATGGGAAGGACAGAACGGAGGCGTTCGGAAATGGCTTCTGAATCTTTAATAAAGCAAACATTGCCTGGGCCATAAACATGGGATGACAGCTCCAGAGGCTCCCAGGATTCTTTACTTAACTCTACCATAATGGCTTTAATGGCCCGGCAGGGAGCTGAGGTGAAAGTCCTATTAAAAAATGGATTCCTGAATTTAATTGAGGCTCCATCTGTGGGGAAAGGCAGAGGAGAGGTTGCTCCACAAGAGAGATGGGAAAAAAACCTCACACTGCATTCCCCCATTTCTGCAACCCTGGAAATGTGGGATATTCAGTGGCACCTCCCTGGGGGACAACAGCAGCTCCCTGGGATTGTGCCTTGTGTGAGAGGGGACATCCCAGTCTGGATTTTCCCTTTGCAGGACAAGGGGAGAGGATCCACAAAGCCCAGCAGGATGTGCTGGAARCGCCTCCATCCATACTGGAAGCACTGGAGGAATGAGGGATTGTCATCCCACCTGTCCAACCTGCACGTGGCCTWCCAGTGACCCTTCAGTGTCCAGCTGTTCCCACTGGATACCTCATCCCATCCACACTGACATCATCAATCCACTTGCTCCAGTTCTGTCAACATCCATTCATCCATCAATCCATTAATTTACCTCTATCAGTTACCTAT